ACGCTGCGCATCGCCTGCATGGACACGCTGCCCTCCGGGGCGGCCTCCGCCCCGCCGCCTCCCGCCGCTGGCAGCGGGCCGTGCCTGCGCGCCCTTTTCCGCTCCCGCCAGCACTACACGCCCGCCTCGCCGCCCTGCCTGCTCTCGCCGCACACCGACAACCTCCACCAAATCGACGCTGTGGACGGGCCTGCCGCCTTTCTCGACATCCTGGCGCCGCCCTACGACCCCCAGCACGGCCGGGACTGCCACTACTACCGGCTGCTGGAGGGGCCGCCGGCGGGCGCGGAGCCGCCCGCGCTGCCGCGAGAGGTGTGGCTGATGGAGACCCCGCAGGCCTCCGACTTCTGGTGCGGGGGCGAGCCCTACCCTGGGCCTCGCGTCTGCCTCTGAGTCGCAGCCGGCGGCCCGTGCCGGGCGGCGGCCGCTAGGGACGATGTGCGCTCGCCCCGCCGAGAGGGGAATCGGCCGCCCCCTGAGCCCGGCGGACAGCGGTGTCCCGTGCGGGCTGGAGCTTCGCGGGAGCGCCGTGGGTCAGAGCCTTCCTCTGATCGCGGGCTTCGTGAGTCGGGGAAATAAAGCGCCAGAACGTGTTTATGCCCTTGGGGCCGATGTGCGGGAGCAGCATGATTAAGCTGCTCAGCTGAAGGGTCGGGGAAATATTCCAGCATCCTGTGTAAATAGTTAGGGCCACGCATCAGGGAGAGGGGTCCAGGCTCCAAAGGGAGAGTAAATGCAATAAGAATTTTCACAGAGTGCCCCAGCTTTTCCCAGTGGGGTTCCCTCTTCTAGAGCCAGCTGGCACCACGGGACCAGGGCACTGTACCCACTGAGTTTGGAGGGACGTTGGTCTGGCTACAGCCTTTGGGGACTGTCTCCAGAGCGACTCTCAAGAAGAGCTGTACCCTGGTAGTAAATAAATCCAGAACAACTCCTGAGCCAGGACATGCTCCTCCAGCAAATGCCAGTGATCAATCCCCAGGGCTGGAGTTAAGGAAATTACTGCTCCAAATGGACACTGTCAGGTTCAGAGTTATTTTTCAACAGTTCTTTTAAGTGTCATATACAAGATCTCACTATTGCTACTGAGAATTACTGAGTGCATCTATGCATACTTCCTTCAGCAAGAAGGAGACAGCTGCTGATTAACCTTGCTTGGAACCTCTAATGCAGCAGTGGCAGAAGCTGGGCATCATAAAAGAAAAAACGACTATCCACTGTTGTGGAAGCTATTCTAGAAACATGGTGTATTTGCAAACCCTCAGTATACAGCAGCGCATACCTAGGTACTGCTAAGATTTGACCTGATGTCTTCTCTTTAAAGCGTGGTCTGTGTTTTTATATGTGAACGCTTTGGGCTTTTGAAGCCTTGCAGTTTCCCTCTTTATACTGTTTATAAGGACTACTTTTTCATAAGGCTTTTAAATAAACCTAGAGTAGAAGAGACACCTCGAATTCCGCCTTGCTATGATGGAAGTGGTCCGGAGATGCAGTTTGTCCACAGCAAGGGAAGGGATGCAATCTTTCTAACACAGAAGAGAGTTTTTCTACAGGTGAAGTGCCCCATCTGTGCTGCAGTGACTGGTCTTGTGCCTGTTCATCCTGATGCACACTTCATACCACAAACCCAGGCCAGGGCAGCCTTGGCCATCTTAGTCCTGATTGAGAATTTGAGTAAGAAAACGCAACTTAGCGACCTCCTGACTGATGTACCAGCCTGCTCCAGGAATCATTTCACAACTGGCTTTACTTTTCTGTGTATTTGTAAAAGCAGACTTGTTTTTCCTGTACAGTGGCTTGTATGATGTGTGAATTTTTAAATGATTCTGATATGGCGTTGCTGCTTTTTTTTTTTCCTGGCCTGTGAAAGAATGAACGTAATATACAGTCAGCATTATGCATCCATGGATTAATTCTTTTGCAAGGAAAAATTGGTAGAAATTATTTCAGGCGATTTCCATTTATTCTTTGAGCATTTAAAGGTGTCTGATATTTCTGCAGCTGGCTTACCTGTTTTTCTTGGAATTCCCCTGCAGCTTAGCATTAGTTAATGTTTAACAATTCTTGATCGAATGTAGTCATTAATTATAAGGCAATGCCTCCCTGTGTTACAGTCTGTTTCTACCTCTCTCCAAGCCTAACAAAGACAGTTATCCTTTTTCACAAGTCCACAAAGAAGATAGCATGGTGCATGCAAACAGCTGTACTGGAAAAACAAACTGCGACAGTGAGCATTTTTTATCCTATCTGCTCTATCCTCCCCTTAGGTCTGTCTGCTGAGTTTTTAATTTTTTTCCTCCATGTGTAAAACCTAGTCAAGATGTTTAGTGGGACAGTATTTAATGCATCTTTCTGAAGAGGACAGCATGGTCACGCCGCAGTGTTGTTAACCATGGCAAAAACTTTTTACTTCTTCTTTTTAATTAAGGTGTTATTATCAAAATATTTAAAGCTGGAAAAATAGCAAAGAAAACCTAAGATGCATTTTTTTAAAAAGCCTCTGTGTAACTTCTTGCTTACTCACTAGTTGAAATTTACTTCCTATGTTTTGGATATCTGTAAGCGGAAGGTTTAAGTCTGTAATGCCATTCCTTCTCTCTGCAGTCTGGTTATTGTGTCTTCACAACAGCAAAATAACTGTTATTGCTGAATTGTAGAATAAATACAGGATATCTCACCAGTGACCAGTCATTACTTTCCTTCACAAGTAGGACAGCCTTGAGCCAAGCACAGTACCAAGCTCTAGTTTCCTTTGCCTGACAGTCCCAACAGTGGGACCGGCTTTTCCTTGGGAGGCGATGCTTAGCACTGGATTCTCAGCCCAGATCCTGCAGGCAAATCCAGGCACATACAGTATTGCTGCTTTTGAAGCTGGCCCTCAATGTAAGGCACACACAGTAGTCTAGCACCATTGATACTGTGCCATGCTCTTGTAGCCGTACACTAATGACCAGCAGTTTCCTTAGTTCACCTCTTTTACTATTTCAGTGTTGTTTATATCATTTTTGCTTTTAATTTGCTTAATTTGGGTTTTAATTTTGTAGCATGGCTGGTGACAGTAGTTTGGACAGTGCAGGGGGAGCCTTGGATTGTGTGTTTGGGTGGCTGAGATACCAGTTTCGCTTAAGATGCTCTGGCTGTGACCGAGCTGTGGTTATCCGAGGCTGTGGCGGTGCCTTCAGAAGCCCAGCAGTTGAGGAGGCTGCAGCTTCTGTATGACATCCCTCCAGCAGCAGGCTGTGGTCTCTTGGGAGCCAGGACCACGCGGGAATAGGTGGCAAAACTGCAAACCATGGTGTGAAGGCTTACTTGTGCTCCTAAGGTGGATGTCGGGGCAGTGAGCACGGCTTCCCCTGCACAGGCTGATCCATGCCCAACTCTAAAAGCTGTCTTGATTCAGAATCAGATTTGTCACTTCAGCTCCCATGGAAGAGCAGCTGCCCCAAAAGCCGGCATGACTTCCAGAAAATGTGAAGCAGGGATTTCTATCAGACAGAAAAAGCAGGTGCTGCTGGGGCTTTGCACTATGGGACTTAACACCTGGGCAAGCAGAGGCTGGGAACCATCAAGAAAGGGCTTAACCCCTTCGCCCTGCTGTGCGGGGCTGTGGCATTAGGGATGCCCATCCTGCACAGTTCAGTTCTGCAGTGCGGGCCGCACCAGGGATCTGCGTGGCAGAGGGAAAGCCCACGGGGCGCTGGCGGCCCTGCACCGATGGCAGGGTCCGAGGGTGGGCCGAGGCCGGGATAGCATTTAAAAAAACATTAACCAAAATAAGCTTGCAAGGAAAAAAAAAGGCACGATATTGCGGCTATGTGGGTTCAGCAAGAACAGTCGGGCTGTGCCGCGGGGGTGAGCGCCGCCGCCCCGGGCCGCTGCAGAGCCCCCGAGCGCGGGCGCGGCGCCGCCCGCGCAGCCCCGCGCCGCCGGGAGCCGCTTCCCCCGAGCGGCGGCCGTCGGGGCGGCGGTACGCGCTGTTCCGGAGCCCACTCGCGGAGGTTGCCTGGGGCGGATCGTAACCGCGGAACAAAACAGAATGAGTCAAAAAAAACCCACCCCTCTCCCTGGTTAATATTATCCAGTCTCTCGTCTCCGAGGGAAATTCCCCCGCCCAAAAGCGAGTGTTTGTACGCTGGGGCCGAGGCCCCAGGTTTTCCACGCCGAGGCTTTGCGGGGCGCTGCGGTGCGCCCATCGGACCCGGGCCGGGCTGCCCCGCAGCCCTCCGCCGCCGGGACCCGGCGCGGGTCGGGGACGAGCGGGCGACAAACCCCTCCCTGGGTCAGGCCAGGGAACCTACGGAAATAAAGATGTCAATTTAGCATAATTAAGAGATTTATTTGTCGTCTTTTATAAACTTTGTAAGCACCTACCCTATTGTCGAAAAGTTTATTTACAGAGTGGCCAGAAAGATAAAGATACCCCCCCTCTCCTTCCAGCCCCCGTTAGTGGTTGTGCATTATTCGTGTTACCTGCGGCGCACTGGGTGCCGGCCGACCACGGGCGCCGGTCCCAGCCCGAGTATTTACATCTTGTCCCAAGTCCTACTACAAACGGAACACTTTCAAGTCACCAAAAAGGAAAACAAAACCAAAACCCCAAACCAGTGCGTACAAAAATATAGTCTCTAAAAAAAAATCCCAATATTAATAGGCAGAAATGTACAGCCATACTAAAACCAGGGAGGGAAAAACTTTCCGGTCTCGGTGTCGCCGCTGTCGTCGGAGCGGATCGGTAAGGCACCCCCCACATGCAGACAGGGGACCGGGCTCTACACCACACAAGGCACCAAGGACACCTCACCACGACGGCACTGCATGCATCCATCCTCCCGCCGCAGCCCCTATGTACACCCGCCGCTCCGGCCCGCTCCGGCCCGCCCCGGCCCGGGGGAGCCCCGCGGCGCCGCCAGGTGCTCGTCGCGCCCCGCCGGGCCCCGCTCCGCTCCGCGCCCGCCGCGCTCGGCGGCGGCTCCGCGCTGGGTCCTGCGCGTCCCGCGCCGTCAGGGCGTCCGCGTCCGCGCAGCGCAGGGGGCCAGGGCGGCCGTGCCGCTCCCGCCGCCGGGTTGCGGGCACCCGCCGGCGGCGGCGGCTCCTTTTCGTTCCTTCTGGCGCAGGTGAATCTTCGTGTGCCGCTTCCTCTCGTCGGAGCGGGCAAACTTCCTGCCGCAGAAGTCGCAGGCGAAGGGTTTCTCGCCGGTGTGCGTGCGAATGTGGGTGGTGAGGTGGTCGCTGCGGCTGAAGTTCCGCATGCAGATACGGCACTGGAAGGGCTTGTGGCCCGTATGGATGCGGATGTGCCGGGTGAGCTCGTCGGAGCGGGAGAAGCGGCGGTCGCAGCCCTCGGCGGGGCACGGGTAGGGCCGCTCGTGGACCGGCGTCTTGCTGGGCCGGTTGGGGTACTTGCGGGGCCGCAGGATGGGCCGCAGCGGCAGGTGGTGCGGGCTGTAGGCGCCGGCGGGCAGCCGGGCGCCCGCGCCCTCGCCCCCGCCGGGAGCGCTGCCGGGGGCGGCGCCCGCCGGGGGCGCCCCCATCGTGAAGTTGCGGATGGTGGAAAGCGGCGTGAGGGGCGGCGGGACGCGGAGCGAGTCGAGGGGGCAGGGGAAGGGCTTGCGGTCGGGGCCGGCGTGGAGCTCCCGCTGGCACTGGGGCGGCGGGAAGAAGCCGCCGTACTCGGGGATCATGGTGAAGAGCCCGCCGTCGGCCGCCGCCGCCTTCGGTGAGGGGTAGGAGGGCGGCGGGGGAAAAGGCAGTGTCCCGCCGCCGGCGGCGGGCAGGAAAGCCGAGGAGGGGTCTTGCGGGTACAGGTCACCGCAGCCCGAATAGGGCGGCGGCGGAGGCGAGTAGAGATGCTCCAGGTCGGCTGGCTGGCCCTGTGCCATGGTGCAGCCGAGGGCCCCGGCCAGCGGGTTCGGGGAGGTGGCGGAGGCGGCGGTGGCCGAGGAGGCGGCGGAGGAGGCGGAGGAGGCGGCAGAGGAGGAGGCGGAGGAGGGCGTGCTGACCCCCTGCAGGATCCCCGCGCTCACGATGTTGATGATGCCCTCGGGGTAGCAACCGGCGCCAGGGTATTGCGGGTCGATGGAGAATTTGCCCATGTAGGTGAAGGTCTGATTGCGGGAAGCCGGAGCATTGGGGGCGAAGCCGCCACCGTAGGGAAGGTCCAGGGCCCGCTTGTCGCCCATGTCCACGTTGATCATGCCGTCTGGGGGGGCAAGGAGCAGGTCAGCCCTCCGCGCCGCCACCCGCCGGACGACCGGCACCGGTCCCAGCCACCGCCCGCCCCGGCCCAGCGCGGGGCTGCGGCGCGCACATGTTGCGCTCCGGAGGCAGGGGGGCTCCGAACCGACTGCAACTTTCCCCCCCGAGCTGGGTGCGGAAGTAGGGCTGCCGCGAAGGGGCGGCGGGGACCCGGCCGGGCGGCGGGAGAGCCCCGGAGAGGGTCCCGGCGCCCCGTCCCAGTCCGACCCCCGCCCGCCGCCCCGAGTCTCCGCCGCCCCGCCGCTCTCCGCGGGCGGCCCGGCCCGCACCTGCGAGGGCTCCGCTTACCTCCTGCCACACCGCTCATCTGGTCGAACGGCCCTGCCAGGTCGGCATTGGGGAAGATCGCGACCGAAGTTGGCAGCGCGGCGGAGATGTCATCCGCCGGGTAAATGCCCTCGGGGAGCTGGTGCACGAACCCACCGAGGGTCACCGGGATCTTGTCTACCGCCTTGGCGGTCATCATGGGGACAGCGGGGCGGCCGGGGGAGCGGCGCTCCCGGCCGGCGGTGGGCACTCGGGGCGGGGAGGGGAGGGAGAGGAGGGGGCGCTTCCCCCTGCCTCCCACTACCAGCGCGGGGGGACGGCGGGGAGCCGGCGCGGCATGTGCGGGCGGGCGGCCGCCCCGTCGCGGCGGTGTGGTGCCCGCGGTGCCCCGGGAGCGCCGCGCTCCCGCCGCAGCTCGCGCTGGAGGACAAGTCTGGCGGTAACTATTTATGGGGGCCCCCTGAATGCCCGGGACGTCACTGCCCATATAAGGACTGAGGAACGGGGCCCGGCCCGGTCACGTGGAAGCCGCGTGTGGGACCCGCCGGCCCGCGCCCGCCCCGACCCCCTCCCTGCGCACCCTCCGCGCCCCGCGGGGGCGGCCCCGACCCGCCCCGGCCCCGCTCGGCCCCCGCCACCGCCCGCCGCGCCGCCCAGGGGGGTATTCCGGTGGCGGGGCCCTTGTCCTAAAAAGGCGAGGATCCGGCCCCGCCCCGCCTGCCCTTTTAGGGCTTGTTCCGGAAATTTTTAAAAGGTTCGGAAAAGCAGAGGAGGTCCCGGGGCCGCCCCGCCAGACCCCACTCACTTTCTCAGCAGCCTGTAACCGCAAACCGGCGGCGGGTCAGGAAACAGCCGCATTCACGGAATAGAGCTTCTCCTTTGTCAAAGAAAAAGTAATTTTAAAAAATAATTTTTTTCTTTCTGAATTACGGGTGGAAAGAGCCGCCGAACAGAGCGACTCGGCGGCGCTGCTTGTTTTGGAAAGTGTCTGATCTATATATACCGTCGCGAAAACGGAACCGCCTGCTCCGCCGTCGCTGGGTTGTTATTGTATCGGCGGGCACGGGCGAGGACGGGACGGGGAGGGTGGCGGGGAGGGGGACGGGAGTGCCCCCCCCACCTCGTTCCATTCTGACCCTACCGCTCCCGCTTTGCTCAGTTCAACCCCGTGCTCCCACAGTTTCCATCCTCAGTAACATTTCCACCGCCGCTTTTGCTTTATTTCTCCGCGATCTCCTCCATAACGAGGGTATCAAACCAAAGAGTGCTTAAATTCTGGCTTTTTCTTTTTTTCCTCCAAAGTACTAAAAATAACCTCCCTTGTGCCTCCCTTCCCAGGAGAAGCCAATCTTTCATATGCTGTTCCCAAGCTTAGAGCTTGCAGCCCCTACATCTTCTTGCTGATGAGGGTGTCAGATGTAATTATTTTTGAAAGCTGTATCCCGTGTCACTAATCTCATTACTTGGGGATATTTCATCTCGTGGCTGTTTATTACTGCATTTAGGAAAGCAACTCTCACATATGGTCTGTAGCGTGCGAGGCCCCTTTTCAATAGTCTGCAGTGAAAAAAACAACCCATTGACAACCCAAGCAGCAGCAAGACATGGCAACATATGAGAGATATTATGACAGTGCATTCCTGTTCCAAAGCAGCAAGCCAGAGAATACATAGGAAGGCTAAAAGCTCTTCCCTTTCATTTTTAACTGCAGATACCAATGTTTACAGGTCTAACACATGACAGCCAATGCCACAGAAGAGGGGTGTGCTCAGGCATCCCTATGGTGTATAGGCTTACCTTCTGCCTTGGCTCCCAGGCACTGTCATGGTGTCTCTCATGACCTTCTTTATCCACGCCACACCTCACACCCCAGCTGAGAAAGGTTTTTTCAGTTCCTCCAGATCCTGGCCTTTGGTGATGCTCCAGGTTCATTACTTGTCCTGGCAGCACAGAGTCCAGACTAGACAGCAGCATCCCTGGAAAAGTAAAGGTTTTTTAGGGCTATTTGCTAAGGAATAGTAGGCATAAAGCTAGATATTTGCCTTGATCAGGGAAGTATGCACAGCAATTAGTAAATATTTAACAGTGGTTTTTAACATACATTTTTGTTACCTGTCCTCTCTAGCACTTAATGTACAGCCAATACAGTTTGACATATGAGATTTAGTTGAAAGCAAGCTTTCAGTGGGATTCTAGATATTTTCATTTAAAAAACCATCTCAATTTAAAAGTAAAATTTAAAAATGTGACAGAGAGACAGGTTCTGGGAAATTTGACTGAGAAGTAGGAGCAATTGTATTGTACCTTTCTGCTACAGCTGAGCTATAATTGGTCTAATCGCTACTATGAAAGAAAAATACTGGAATCTGTTGTGCAGTGGGGTGAGTTACTTTACATGAATTTGAGAAACAGTAACTCTAAGTGCAGTATCCTCCTTACTGCAAAACATTGCAGATATCTCAGATTTAGGGCTTATGGATATTCTACATCATCTTGTATTAACTCAAAATACCATATGCCCACAGATGACACTAAATCATACTGCACACAGAAAAAAGGAGAACCAAGGTTTCACACCCCACCTTAATCCCACCATGAATCAACTCTCACTTTGAACTAACTTGGCTAATTTAACGTTCTTCCGCTATGGAAAAGGATTGAATGAAAGACCGACACAAAATTTAACTTCATCTGTGGAATACTACTGTACTTGATTGGGCTGGTTAATTTTAAAAGGTTTCTTAAGAATGAAATAAATTTCCAGGGACAATCAAATCACTCGACATCTTTCAATGGGGGCTTTGTCTCAATGGCAGCAGGATCTGGTGTGGGGCAAGATGGAAGCACGCTTAATGCTCAGTTTCAGGAAGTTGTTGACAGATGAAACTCAAATGTTTCTGGGCCCTTTTCAGATATCCTTGCTGTATTGCTTTGCATGCATGCTTTGATCCCCATTTGGCTGATTACAGCAGACTCTGAGGGTTGGACTGTCCAGCTCACACTGACCCTCATATGTTGCCATGTCTTGCATCAATGGCCCTTACATGCAGAAATATCCTACTGATTTCTGTAAAGCACGTGGCTTCATATGACAGACAGATTATTGGTGCAAATTTCCAAATCCCCAATCACACCAAGAGCCTCGAATATGCATGACCTCTTAGTGGATATAGCAGTGATTGAGGATGGTTCAGAGCTGAAAGGCAGAACTTCTCTCCTACTCCCAACTTCTTTGAAACCAGGCCCCTTTGGATTTACTGTATTTACCCTTTTAACAAGCTGCTAGCTGACATTGCACTGGGGATATATTTTCCTGCAGTCATTGTCTACCACTGGTACCTGAGACAGGAGTAGTAGAAATAAAATCATCTTTGCCTCCATACCTGAGTTGAGAGTGGCTGAGGAAGAAAAGGCAGTTTATCATCTGTGGAGCTGGCAACACATTTAACCAGCTTAGCATCACACATTTGAGTCATCTCTCCAGGGGGTTACTATGCTTTTGCAGCAAAACTCAGCCGACCTCCTGTGCTAACAGGCCTGCATGGGAAACACACCCTGCAGCTTCCACTCTGCATCCTGCTGCTTCAGGAGGGTTAAGGTGGCCCCAGCTCAGCAGGTGCCCTAGGGAGCAGGAACTCATTTGGGAACAGGGAGCTGTTTACAGGTTGGAGATGAATGACAACAGCAAAGAATGTCTGTCTGTCCTAAATGTGGCCTAGATTCATGTTGGGGTTGGTGGGTTTTTAATGTTTCATGTAAAAGAGAAAATCTTCTCTCCAAAGCTGAATTTCAGAGTTTCCTAAATTTTCCCCTTTTCACTGGGGAAAGATTTGTCACGTCCTCACAGGAAGAAATGCTTGTTTACTATTTCACCTTCTGTTTTGGCCAAGGCTGTCTGCTGGATTCCCAGGCTGCTGGCAAAAGCCACTTCCCTTCAGTCTGCCCTGCCTGCCCCTCACAGGCCTGATATAGGCTCTTAGTCTGCACTGGCCAGTCACCAAAACCTGGAATCCAGCCAGGGAAACCTGCTGTAAACATGAACTTACAGAAAACATGTGGCTGGCTGCTGGCATGCTGGGGGAAGGGGATGGTTAAGGAGCAGAGAAGGCATCCCAGTCTGCCCTTAATTACAGTACCTTGAAACCACTCTATGGTTTTTAGCCAAGGCTGCTTGTTGTCTTAGGATGAGTGCCTGTAAATTTGAAATAAGTAAATAACTTTCTTGTGAGTCCTTGGCTTAGGATAGCAGTAGCAGCATTCTGAAGGGTTATTTAAATGTCAATAACTTTTTCTAATTCGGGCTATAGGAATTAAATAAACCCATGTGGAATCAATAAACTACTAGTTTAAGTTCGTGAGGCTGTGAACAAGTATGTGTGACAGAGAAAACTTCCAGTCAAATAAAAGCAGCAACAATCTTGTTTGCTCAAAACTTATTCCCGTTATTAAATACACAGAACATTTCCTGGATGTTCCTGTGCACGGTTTCCAGCATATATATAAAATCCGTGCTCCTACTTGCACTCACCCCATGAGTTTCCCACGGAAGAGCCGAGGGAGCGGCTGCTCCCGCCGCTGTCGGGCGGGGAGCGGGGAGCGTGTGCGGGCTCCACTGCCCTCTCCTGGGGAAAGGCGCTCCCGGAGCCAGCGAGGACACAGCAGCTGAGCAGAGGGCGATGTACTGGGCTGAGCTCTGCTGCTCTTTCACCGTATAATACCACCCCTAAAGGTTTTCATCACACTCGTGCTACCTATAGAGAGACTCTAGCCCTGTTGAGTCAGAGATCCCGGTCACAGCTGTGACCCCCACAACCCCAACAGTGTGGATGTGTGAAGTGTTGAGAGCAAGCCACAAGAGGGGCATCCCTGCTGAAAGGCTAAAATATCAGCTCTGCATGCTGCTTGCTGAGGGGACAAAGAAAAGAAGAAAAAACAAAAAAAAAGGAAAAAAAAGAAAAAAAAAAGAAAAAAAAAGTTGCTTCTCAACTGTGAAAATTGCTGGGATACACATGTCATTCATGAGACAAGACTCAAAATAATGACAACTTTCTTTCTAAATAGTGATAGTCTGCCTGCAAAGCTTTACTTTCCAGTCCTTCCTTCTGAAACTAGTTTCACTTACCCTGTATTTCCTGCTCCAACGTGCCTCCTGTGTTTTGTGTAAATACTGCCTCGTCCCATGCTGGCCCTTCAGTCCAGAGAGAGACTAATCGAGCACGTGCCTTCATGATGCAAGTGCTCTTCTTCCTTGAAGGACTGAAATAAAAGAAATGTAGCAAGAGTCACATTTTCAGTTCTCTTGGTCCCATCACCTAGTGTTTGAGTGTTCA